TATGGGCTTATCACACTACTTTGAAAATGCCGATTGGAATGTCACCATACCGGATGGTGTTTGGAAAATGTGCCACGTACTACTGAAATTTGAGCAAAAAGAAAATTGGGTACTAAAGGCACTTGAATAAGGATTTAGAAATGTCTGAAAAAATAAGAATACTATAGTTACATGAATTGGAGGAATTCAAGATGGTCCGGGCCTTTCACATTATCTTAAAGTATTCCCTTATTTTTCAATTTAATTATATCATCCAGCAAAGGAAAATCTTATAGTAATGGGCAACGTATCAAACATTATGTCAAGGACTTCCCTACAACGAAAGAGATAGTTAATATCGTTGTTTTAGATTGATCGTGGCATAAAGTCAAGCTAATAACATTAAATAAGTGCTTCTTGAAAAGTGACCCAAGTTCTATCCCATTATTTTCATTTATTTATATATTAGATTATGAAATATTTCTTTTTTAGCATTTTTGCTCATTTCTGTAAGCTAATGTTCAAGTTTGGGGGATAGCAACATGAGCAGAATGTAAATTGAAGGTAAAAAGAATTACAGAAAGGCAGCGTCTTGGCAACATTTCCCAAACGCCACCTAAACAACCCATACCCACAAGTTTCAACAACTTTAAAGCATCCAAGTTCATTGCCGCAAAGCATTGTGGATAACGAACATTTCACAACATTCATGAAAGAATATCACCAACCAAGGTATGTAGAAAGAAGTAGAAATACTCTTCGTAGTGTTACTATAGACTATTTCATTAAAACCAAGAAAATGATATTCAATTTTGTCATGTAATCAAATTTTGTTATTTTTAATAATATTTTGATTTTTAAAAAAGTTATACACATATCAACTTGTTCGTGTACAATTCTAACTCCACCTGCTCGAAAATTAAGTAGATGGTTCCAAACCTGAATACAAGAATGAGGATTTTAAAAAAATAAAAATAAATAATAATAATAATAATAAATAAAATAATTTTAAATCTCATCCCTTGTTTGTTATTGATTAAAATTCATATTTTAATCAAAGTCAAAATCAACAATCAATTTTAATTACATATTTCATGGGTTCTACATCTTTTCAACTACATACTTTATCTACTTTTATCAAAATCTAATAAAAATATGATTTTAATCCCTACCAATTGAGGGCTTAATTCAATTTGTTATTTATATATTCTTCTTCTACAGCTTTGTATATTTCATATTAATACAATTAAATTTAACGAAAATGAAGAATCAGTCTCCTCAAACTTCAAGTAATGTCAATGAAGTGTGCCAAACACATGAAGTATGTTTAGTTTATGTGTTTGATAGATGTTTCATTGATGATACCTGGAAGAACATGAGAAAAAATTCCTTTTTTTAATTGAGAAAATGGCCTCTTCGTTTTTTGAATGCTTGATTTCAAATAATAATAATAATAATAAAAAAGTGTACATGTAACAAGTTGTTTGTGTACAATTTTAATCCACATACTTGAAAGTAGCTGCTTCCAAACCTTGATAAAAGGAGGGTTCCCATACCTCGTAAGAAAAGGACTCGAAAGACTAAAATTCTTTACTCATTCATCTAAAAACAAAGAGTCCATATCCCCAAGTCTAGATATCGTTGATGAAGCATGATGCCAAACACATGAAGTGTTTTTGGAATCATGGTCCATTGCCGATACTTGAAAACATGGGATGGACTCTCCGTTTTTGGATGCTTTTTTAAAAAAAATTGATTTAAAAAAATGCACATGTAACAAGTTTTTCATATACAATTTTAACTCTGCCGACTCAAAAATAAGTAGCAAGTCGAAGCCCGAAGAAAATGAGGAAGGTTTTTCACCATTTTTTAAAAAAAAGAAAAGAAAGAAAAGTAAAAGAACAAAAAATTAAAAAAGGACGAGCGCGTGGGTCAATCCCGACTTGGCCCCACGAGTCACGAGCTCAAGGGCCAAGTTGGCCCTTAGCAGATAAGCTGAGAACAGGCTCCGCTCGTCTTAGATGAGCCATAAGTTGAGCTCGTGGCTAGACTTGGCCGACTGTCACCACTACGTATACCTTTCCAACCCCCACGACAACTTCACGATATAGGTCGATCCACGACTAGTATTGTTAATGACAATAATTAGGATTCACAATTTAACACATACATCATTAATTATAGCACCATAATTTCAACATAAATAGTAGCATTTAGAATTCTAGTATTACTCTTAAACAAGTTGTGCTAATCAACTAACCGCGCAGTTATATAAGTATGCTCTGCCATTGCCACTTCTGAAATCCAAAGTTGGCTAAGCATTTAATGCATGTAAGATGCATGTTAAGATAGTGGAAGATTGCTTGTTAAAAAAAGGCTCTATAGTCAAAAGAGAGAGAGAGAGAGAGAGAGATAAGAGTTGTGCCAAAGAGAGAATCGAAGACTCACAAGAGTAAGAATGTGTCAGGGCCATACTTATGTTTAGCGAGATCTAAGGCGCGTTTCAGAATTTGGGCTCCTAAATTATAGCAAGTAATCAATTTTTTTCATTTATAAGAGTTTTATGGAATTAAATTTGTTAAGTTAAATCAACAATAACACAAAAAATAAAATAAAATAAAATATTCTAAATATTTACATTATAATGTTTTAAATGATCACTTAAATCCAACTAGTCTTGCAATTTTGGAGACAAAAATATCAATCAATTTTAAATAGTCAAGTTGTTCAACCATAATGCAAATTCATAAAAATGATAACATAGATTAATACATAATAGTTAATTAATCAACGGATAGTACTATTCATGAATCCCTCATAAGTCATAAACTAAACCAAAGGCAATTGAATCCACACATACCATCATCAAATTTCATTGAAAATTGCTCAAAAAAAGCCACAATAAAATTTGTTAAACCCACACCTCCTATTTCATGTGATTGGGCTGAAACTATATAATTTTTGTGGAGCTCTTGACAGATCTTACATTGAAATGTCGGTCTAATATTCCATCAATGTCAAAGAAAAATAACACCCAAAATGTGTACATGTTCAGAAAGCAAGTGAAAATTTTGACCCAAAGAAAGTGGTATAGAGTGCACTCAAATTGATAGTAATATTGATGCATATCCTTCTTTTGTTATACAATGAAATGAGTATTCCTAATCTAAAACTTGCAGTACCCTCAAAATCACTACACTCACACTCGGCACCAAAATAGAGACGAAATAATAGAGCAATGCAAATCCAATGATGCAAAACAAGTAATCCCACAACAAACCTATTATTTAAAATACTCGTATGAACGACAAAACAATATATAATTGCCCAAATTTTCAATCCTCAGTGGCTCTTTGTTTCCTACATGATCATAAAATATGGTGTTCCAAATGTGACAAAAAATAATAATAATAAATAAATAAATAAAATAATAATATTAATAATAATAATAACAGCAACAGCAACAACAACAGAAGTAGCGTAGGCACACAATGCAAAACCAATAAAAATCCATAAAAAAGCTTTATTTCATAAAACCGGATTAATCTAAAAACTGTGGCATCTATAAAAATCATCAGAAGCTAATGAAAATCTATATATACTGACAAGCAATTAATTTTCGTTGCAATCATATATAAAACAAAAATCAATAAAACAGAATAGGCAAATCTAGGGCTGGACAAAACTCTCGAACCGAACCGACCGAATCAAACTGAACCCGACGGTTCTTCTCAAGTTAAATACCCGAACGGTTATTTGAATCAAGAACCGACGGGTATGGTTCGGTTCGGTTCTCGGTTCTAGGCCAAGACCCGAAGAACCGAATAAAAATCGAATCTCCGTAATTTTTTTAATTAATTTATTTTAAATAAGTAAAATTATTTTACTTTTTCTAAACAAATTTGTTAATTAGTTAATTTAGTTCAAACCACAAAATATGATTTTCCTATTTCTAATTTTTCAGTTCAAAATCAATTTAATCAAATTGACCTCAATTTTATCTAAATCTGTTATTCTATTGTAGTGTCGTTTATACAGGACAAAATCGAATTAAAACTTTACAACATTTCTCTTAATTATTTGGAGCTCGCTATCTTTCTCTTTCTGTGATTTTAATAATCAAATTTATGAAGAATTCAGCAAAGAGAGACGCGAAACACATAAGATTGAACTACGTTATTTTGTAAGAGCTAATATTGAACATATCATTATTTAAATTAACGTAACTTTGTATATATTAAAATTTTAATTATAATACAGAATTGAATGGAACCGAACCCGAAAGGTTCCGTAATTAAATTTGGACCTGACGGGCCCACATACTAAATACCCGAAAATTTTGAGAACCGAACCGAATCAGATCATATCCAGCCCTAGGCAAATCAACAAAAAAGATCAAGCAATTTAACCTCAAATGTATACAATATCATTATCAAATTTATAATATCATTATTGGAGAAGCCTTGTTGTACAGAGCAAGAGTGAATTAGTACAAACGCGTTGAATTTTGGAGAAGTTGCGAATTTAGGAGGTCTAGGTTTTGATTTAGGAGGACAATTATTGAAGGTTTTGAGTGTAATAAGTGGAATTTAAAAAAAAATAAAAAAAATAAATAAATAAATTCTTTAGGCCTCCTAAAGAGCTGGGCCGAAGGCGATGGCCTTTTGGACCTCTCCTTAGATCCGGCTCTAATGCGAAGTTCTACAAGCACATTAGTGCAAGGATTTGATGATATTAATCAAAACATTTAAAAAAAAAAAAAATCAGTTTGGAAGTGAACCACCAGGTTCTTGATGTGATCTTCCCAGTTCTTGGTTTAATTTATCAGTTTTTAACTTCTCAATTTTTTAAAATCCGTTTCCAAACCGGCTCCTGATTTTTCCGGTCTTCTAGTCGTAAAGACATCCATAACTTCTAGTCGAGAGTAGGATTTCCTCTGTGAATAATTTATTTTTTTTCCAAGGAAGGAAATAATTTTAATGACTCTGTACAATAGTCCTGTTTCCTAGCAAAAGAGAGGATCGTTCTTGATCTCAACACTCTTATTGAACAAGAAATGTAATAATCGTGTGTGAAAAAAACATTTTTTTAGGAGTACGCTGCTGTCAAACAGAACAGCACAAACCACTCGATTGACTTTTACAAAATAAACCAACCTCCTATATTCAAAAGATAAATGCAAAGAAATACTGAGGAAAGCAAAAGTATTCACTAAAAATATTATCATGAAACCAAATTTGAGAACACCTGTGCTCTTGCAAACTGTATCATCTAAAGGAATATTGAATTTCTTCCAATGTTCTTCCCTTGGTTTCTGGAACCCAAAGCTTCACGAATGCTACTGTAAATATTGATGCTATTGAATAGATGAGAAAAGTTCCTGCAAAAATATAATGCCTCAGCATACCATAATGCACGCATGCACAAACACATAGACGTGTGTAGATGCTACCATTTTCCTCGTTATTTGCCTATTCTAGCAAAACCATATATTGGAGTAACACATACATACATACATGTGTGTGTGTGTGTGTGAGAGAGAGAGATAGAGAGAGAACCTCCTTTGCTCCAAGTGAAAAGCAAATTTGCTGTCATTGTAACCACCCATGCTGTCAACCAATTGGCCAGTGTTGCTACACTGCCAGCAAGACTTTTAATGTTTACAGGAAGTATCTGTAACAATCAAAACCAAAATGTAGGAACTCTGGTACGAAGTGAATCAAAATCTACATTAATCTACGACAGTAACTAAAGACAGGAACTTGGAACGAACAACTATGTGTCATGGTGTCATGGTATGTTTACATCATTAAATTACACCAGTATTGGACATTATTAAGGAAGAAAAAAGAAGTTACAATCTTTTCATTTATCGTGTTGTGATTCTAGTACTGCGTACGAAACATAATTTTAATTCTACAAGTGCTACATCTTTGCTTTCTGATTAATAGTTAATCAATCATCTATTATTTGATGAGAACTAGAAACATAGTGGAAAAATAACACGAGTTCTAATATTTAAATTTAGTTGAATTTCACAATGTCCCTCTCCTCGGGAAGTTATGACTTGGCAGGTACCCAATATATTCTTTCATGATAAATAGTTCTGGAAAAGGTTCAACTCTGTTTTTGTAATGTTTCTTTGAAATAAAATTCCTCAATAATTAAATTACATGGAGGGAAGTTTCTTGCTCCATTTTAGAGTTTTGAATTGGATGTATGAATCTCCAGCGGCAGGGACTTCGAAATCTGAACCAACAGGCTGAAGCCTTAAATTATCTTGTCTTGCAGTTTACAAAGCATTCTAAGTTTTTAGAATGAAAATTATTTATTTTTCCCATTTCCTCAAATTGATCACTAAACTAATGTTGCCATACCTCTGACATTATAACCCATGGTATAGCTCCAAGTCCTATAGAGAAACCAATCACCAATACCTGGCAAAAGATGAATCAGAAAGTGAGAAAAGTGTCACCATGGCTGGGGTCATGTAAAGATCCTAAGCAAGGCATACCACAAGCCCAATGAGTGACAATATTCCCAAGGCAAAGCGAGTATGTTCTGATAAAATATCCTGCTTTCAGTAAGATATTAGTATTCAATTAAACCTTAAGAAAGCCAGAAGACAGTCATTACATTGTGTTTAGTCAAATTATGTTTAGAAAATAAAAGAAACCAAACATATGAAATCACGGAAAAAAAAAACAAATATATCGAGAAGTACAGAGATCTCTAATTCATTACTGACCCCCAAATAGAATGCAATTGCAACAAGGAGGCTACTAGCACTCATTAGAGATGAGGATACCTACAGGAAGAGAGAGAATCTATGTTCAATTATTAAGATCAAGCAATAATATAAACCCCAAGTTAAAAAGGATAGTCGAGACGCACTATCAGAAGAACCCTGCGGCCCATTCTGTCCACCAAAGTTGTTGTAATCCCAGTGACAATAACCTTATCAATGACAAGATTCTTTCACTACACAGATTTGGTTTGGAAATAGTAAAAGCAATAGCGTAAGTGAAGGCCAATGCTTACCTGAATAGCCCCAAGACCAAATGTTGCAGCTTTACTGGATGCAATCCCTGTTTAAATTTGATAACAAATTTATCAATTTTACTCTTACAATAGCTATAATATATCATGGCCCCTAGAAAATAGTTTTGAAACATATTACCAACATTGATTCACCAAGAACTCATTTGGTTAAGAAAATATACAGAAACTTTTATAGATCAAATGACAAGAACTTGTAGCTAACAATAGTTATAGATCAACAAGGATATAAAAACCTAAAATGTTAGTTCAGCCGATTTGCCAACTTAGCAAAGATTAGAACACCTAATCAGCTTTACTCTGACACATTAGATCAGTTAGAAAGTCAGTACCCAATTTAGTTTCAACCAATCAAGTTAGCAGATGTCTAATAGCATGACATATGACCAAGTCCAATGAACTCCGTCTCATGTCATACATGATATCATATGATGACACGTTCTCAAGAAAAGGATGGCCTTTCTCTAATTATTTGATATATAGTAGTTTGATGATTCATACTTGAAATCTCACCTGCAGATTTAAATATGTTACTTGAATAGAACAGAACGCCATTGATGCCGCTGAGTTGCTGAAGTACAAGTAGTCCAATTCCTACCTGTGGAATACCAATAGAAGATGTTCAGAAGGAAGAGAAGGAAGAAAAGTTTCCCTTTTGCAGGGAAATATTATCATATGACTAATATTCCAGCTGAGACTAAAATTTTAGAGCATCCAGTGTACCATCAAAGGATACAAATATCTTCTTCTCTTAAGCTCAGAAAATCGGATAGCAGTTCTTTTGGTTGACGATGCCACAGATCTCTGAGAAAGGAACGTGGAAGATAACTACCATAAAACTTACGAATATGCTTATTGACAAATAATTCTCAAGTATGAGATATGTGTCTGCAGAATGATAATATGTTAGAATTCACCAAGACGACAGGATCAAGTCAACACCTTAATCTCATTTACTTCAATTGAGATGTCTGTATCAAATCCCCGTAAAACTTGCAGGGAAGTTTCGAAGTCTTCATTCAGGCCCATTTTGGCCTAGATTAGTTAAAGATGAAATCAGATCAACTTAGATCAGACTAAAACCCATTTAATCTTGTATTCAAGTTTGTATCTCTTACCAACCAACGAGGAGATTCTGGTATGAAAAAAAGACCAGGGATCAAGACTGTGCATGGCAAAATTCCTGCAAATTGCGTTCAATCAACAGTTATAACATATTGAAGAATTAAACATAGCAGTTGCATTTGCAAACAAATAATGATATTTCAGGCCTTAACTAGACTTCTACTATTGCATGTTAACTGTTAAGCTCATTCAAAAAGGACCCATTTCATTGGAACATTAGATACATAGATCTACAAGTAATAGAGAGTTTAGAAATGAGGAAGAAGGTGACATGGATGACTTTATTGTTCACCAATTATATTTTACATTTAAGGATTAGGATCCAATACAAGTGGTATGTTCTACCAATTGAATACAAACAAGTAACTCTTTGTCAAACTTGCTAAAAGAAATTGCGTTGTAATGAGACGAAAAAACAGAAATAACATATTTTTGGCTCACCTAAAACTGCAAGCACTCTCCAAGGTAGAAAAAGTCCCAATAGATATGCCAGCATTATTCCAATTGTTACTGAAAGCTGCAGATGGAAGATAAATGAATTGGATTCCAACTTTTGACCCTGTTGAACTTGAGTTTTAATCAACTTAGAAAAAGGAAAATAGTGAAACTTACACCCGTAGTCCACATTATTTAATTAAATGAGCGCTCGGGTCTACAACCTTAATTTATGTGACACTTGGGTACCCACAGATGGATTATGTTCCTAAATTTTGTTATAATGTCATATGTTTCTCACACGATCAGAGATTTTGATCTCTTATTCACTTAAAAGAAAGAACACAAAACTGAAAAAATAAGAGAAAGACATCTTCTCCTTCCCCCAGCAACCATGCCTGTGTCACACCCTCCCATCAGCCTCCCACCTTCCCCCGTGAAGTCCACCACATCCATAGCCCTTCTCCACCATGTCTGGTTCAGCCAGAACCTACACCATTGCTCCCTTCCCAGCTAATGGATCTTTATACCAGTCTCACTACACTACCACCGAGAAATAGATGATTTGATCAACTTAATTAAACTTCATATTAGTTGAACATAATAAACACGAGTCTTGAAGATGCAAGAATAAGAGAGAGAAAATCAGCTGCAACTTAACTAGGAATTTCGGCAACAAATCAAAGTTGTCATAGTTTAGGATTTATAGTAGCTTGAGAATCACAGCTCGGGTTGATGTCAGCCAAATGCCATGGAAATTAAAGCTTAAGAAGACTAATGATAAAAAAAAAAAAAAAAAAAATGGAGCTGGACTCTAATGCTCATCTAAGTATTAAGTAGGGGCTATAGGTGTAATTTTGTAAAACATTCCCATGAAACATAAATGAAGCACCTGATTAACAGATCCAAGGCTCCCTCTTAGGTTTTGAGGTGCTATCTCAGCAATGTATACAGGCACCTAAACACATTCAAATAGCTGAAGTGCTTGCAAAAAATAACATTGATCAAAGTTCCACAAAGGTATATAAACTATTCAATAGAAGTTACCGTGTAAGATATTATGCCAACGCCAAATCCTTCCAACAACCTTCCCATGTATAAAAATGACGAGTCCTATATACATTCCAACTAAAGTGTAAAATGATCATTAATTATGAAAAAATGTCAAACAACATAGCTTGTAGTTCAAAATATAAAATTGAAATTCTAACTCACTTTTGCAAATGAAATTGCTAGCCATCCAATTATATTTGGAATTGAAGCGATCATCAGTGACTGAACTTCAGCATTTCACATAATATAATAACAACAGCAGCATCATAAAATCATAATTAAATGTAATTATTACATTGTCTAGACCACAATCAGCAAAAAAGGGAAACTAGATTATGCTAATTTACATATTATCATACCCCTTTTCGTCCAATGTATTCCGCAATCTGGCCACTTGCTACTGCACCAACCATTGCACCCACATTTGCTAATGAACCAAATATTGAAAACTTTCCCCACCACCAATGACCAAAAGAAAATTCAGAACCAAAAGTAATTTCTATTACATAACAGCATTAAATGCAAATACACCAAATTCCGGTAAACGTTACCCATAAAAATTAAAAATTACCTCGGAAATGGTAAGTCCAAGATCGTTAATGATCTCTGATTGCGTAGGATTAGAGTATCCACACTAGAACGCCAGTTAATTGTTAACATCAGAAACATGATATTTAACATAGCTTCATGCGTGGAATTAAAATGTTACTAGGGATCGGAGGTAGAAACAATTAACTGTGAAGCCAAATTGGATCGGGCCTAGGGCGACAATGAAGACGCAGAGAAAAATGGAGATAGACTCCCGGATGATCTGGGCAGAAGAGCCCATAATGCTGGACTGGCGAGAGCCCATTCCCGCCATGCGATACCAGCTTCCCGTGTGCAATAAGGGCTTGCGCAACCCATCCTCCACCGTGGCAGCATCAGAACTCATCGACGTAGTTTTCTCCTAGTACTAATCAAAATAGTTGTTTGTTTTTGGAATCCTTAAGAGCGATCTGTTTGTGTCTGGAATATGAAGAAAATAATTTCTGATTTATATTTTCAGTATAAGAATTCGACCATTTCAGTTTGTTTGTTGGAGAAAGAATGCCTGAAACTGGTCGAGCAGCTGCGACGGCGACGGAGAAGCTTAAGAATGCCACGTAGTTAATGGAAATTCCACTATCTAATTTTTCTTTTTCATTTTTTTTAATTGCATTAAAATCCTCAATATTTTCTCATTGTAACATATGTCCTTAATTTTTTATTTTTATTTTATTTAATTTTTTCTCTTCCTCATATTCAACATTCCGTTAATTAAAATGTAATGCATCTTAGAAAAATTATATTGTGAATATAATTTCTAATAATTTTTTTTCCCACATCCTCATATTCAACACTCTAACAGTTATTTTTATTGATCGTCGTTAACTTTCATGTCGTCTAACATCTATAAAAATGATAGATTCCTTCCAGCTGGCCTTCTATTTTGGCTCTATTACGATTTGATACTATTAATTAATGATGATGAAATTTGTGGTCGGCGTTAAACCGAGAAATTTGAATATTTAAATTCGCATTTTATGTTTAGAATTTATAATTTCACCATGGATCCAATGATTGTAGTTCACATCAAGTAGGAACGCGATTCGATTTGAATGGTTTGTGCTATATTTTCAACTCAAAACATTTTATTCAGTTTGAATTTTTTTCCAAACCAAATCAAACCATTTTATTTTTCCAACCAAACCATAATTTACAATTTTGTTCAATTTTAATCCGCGGTTTACCTTTGGACATTATAGTAATGTATTTAACATAAGTTAAATATAAGTTTAAATGAGAACTAATAATGTTAAATGTTAAATTATATTCATATTTACCATAAAATCCATTGATAAATTATTTTCAAAATTTGTTGCTAAAAGATGTTAATAGAACAAATACATCTTTCTTCATTTTTATTTACCTTTTTTTGTTTGACATTCATATTATCATATAGTAGTTGGTAAAGGTAGAGTTACATTCTGTTACTATTGTTTGGTTAAAACTCCTTTTATTTTATTAGTGAAATGTTAAATAAGAATTGAAAGGGATGTGTCTAGACGTACAAAGATTGATAGAGTTTCGACTTATTGAAATTGACGAATTTTATCATCTAACTACTTTATGAAAATAGAAGGTAATAATACTAATTAGAGAACTTTAACATTTTCACACAATCAATATACTCTGTCCTTCATTCTTTCCAAATCATAAACAAGTTCATTAAACATCTAGACACACAAACAATTTTTTTTTTTTTTAAATCACAACGAACAAGTGTAGAATAAATTCAAAAAAACAAATAAAAGAAAGAACAATGGAAAATGGCTTAAATAAGAATCAAAGACTTACTGAAAGAGACGAGAGAAAGAGACGATTTAGGTAGAGATTAGTAGACTGACAGGCAAAGGTGACTGGCGTTTCATTCAGTAATGACAAACAAGCGTCAAATTTTAGGGAAATGAAAGTTTATGTTAGGGCTTCTGAAACTTTATATGTGATTTGCTGACGTAGTTTTGTAGAATTATGATTTGGATTGTTGAAAATATATGCTTTTTTTCATTTCATATGATTTTGGAATAATTTTAGTTTAGTTTAAATATCGGGTAAGGACATGTATTGTGAACCTATTAAATCATTGGTCAATAATGATAAACCTAATTTACTTTCTATGATTATTTCAATAGCTGGTTGTAATTTATATTGCTAATTTGATTTTTTTTTTTTGAAAAGTGAAAACTATAAAATTTTTAAATTAATAAAATTAAATTTTTAATTAAAAAATTTAAAAACGTTTCGGTTCGATTTTGTGCGGTTTTTAAAAATCTAAATCTAAAACAAACCATTTTGAAACAGTTTGGTTCGGTTCGAGGGAAAAACTACGGATCCACGTGGATCCAAGCCAACGGTTTAACTCAACGATTTCAGTTTGATTTGTGATTTCGCGATTTCTTTATGCAACCCTAATGTCAAGGTTTAACAGGTGGCAATTAGATCTAGAGTAGATATCGCTAAAATAGTGACAAATTATATATACTATATTTTAATGACTAAATGGATTACAAAAATGTTTAAATGACCAATTTGAAATTTCACTTGAGCAAGTGATTATTTGTGAAATTAACTTAAAATCTTATATGTCTTAGTTTGATAAAAATTTGTAAATTGAAATGTGAAAAAAAAAAATTATTATTATAAAATTAAAGGAAGCATGGAGAAATATAAAAGAAAAGAAAAAGGGAGAATCAAATATCATGTATGTATTTCATTGTAGCAATGACCCATATTGATATGATTCAAATGAGAGTTATAATTTGAATTAAATACACTCATTTAGAGTAGGTAAAACGTATTTAAATATCCAAATAATATTAAATAGTCAACAATAATTCTCTCATAAATTTACAACATTCCTCAATGGGACAAAAATTGAGGGAAAAAAAAAAAGCCACTTCCTTCGATTTCAATAAATGAAAATTCTTGTATCGAGACGTCCATGTCTTTACGCTAATATCTTCAATATCATAATTCTGGTGAAATATGTTTTGTATTATCTTGATATAGCATTTGGGCAATACCATCTTCATATAAAATATTTATTTATCATATTTGACTTTTGTCAGTATGATGTCCATTGAGAATGACTAGCATGACGTCAGTTGAAAATAAATCTTGTTATAGTTCTGCTTAGGAGTCTCGTATATAATTTGTAGCATATAAAAGTATTATTTCCGGGGTTAATATCTTATAGATTATGCATATTTATTATAGAAAGAATATGACTACTTAAAAATGTTATTAGGAAAAACTTCGCAAGAAAAATCCTAATTAAGGAAAAATAGTACATTATCCCTTTAATATGCAACAAAATTTGCCTCACTAAAAACCTTGACAGGGAAATTCAATAGAACAACATTGATCAAGAAAAAAGGGCACAATGCATATTTACTTCCCTCACATACATTTCATGGACAAGTAAAAAGACTATGTAGATAGGTGAAAAGTGTAGTTTCTACACTTATTCGAGGTCCTAAAATATGATATTTTATTGTTCTTTGGATAAAATACTACCTAACTTGTGTTATATTACATTTTATAGATAAAACTTGATGTTTCATGAAGAATTGGAAAAAAGAATGCAAAATTAGTGAAAAAAGGGCTAAATCCAAAAGTCAGGAACTGAATTACAAACAATACATAGATGAGAAGGTGACAAAATAAAGATCGAGGATGTTAGGGATCAAATTGGATACAATTGAAAAATAAGGGAACAAGATTACAAGAAAAAATGTCGTAAACAAAGGTATTCCAAAATTTGGGGACCAAAGTGTAAACAACCAGTAGTTGATTCGGACCATAAAACGATGATTGAATATCATATGACATCAATTGGATGCTATTGACGGTCAAAGGAATGAAATAGAGTTGAAGCATTTTGACTAATCAATTTCCAGCCGAAGAAATTGTGCTCCCGATTTTCAGCCTCAATTTGAGACCCCTTTTTAGGATGGAAAACATTTGAAATGGAAAATTTAATTCAATAAGAATTGTAGATCTTTGAGTTTACTTTTTAATGCACTTTGAATCACCTCAATCGGAATTCGGAATGAAAAGTTATAACTAAATTATCAAGAGCTATCTAGGGACGCGTGTGTAACACGGAGTGCGCGCAGGGGCCAAAAATGGCACTCGCGCACCAACTCTTTTTCTCTAACCCGAGAGCAAAATCATTGACCGGTGCGTGCGCAATGAACTATATGGGGTGTGAGCATGGGCCAAATTTTATGTGACGAGCTAGTTTCCTTACTCTGATGAAATTCGAAATGAAAATAATATCTTAACATCCTATATATACCTAAACATGCCCAGAACATAGAGAGACCTCCCTTGACCTAATTTTTCATCACATTATACATTTTTTGGAGGCAAAGAACAAGCCTAAATCATTAACATCAAAGGAATTGTGCAAGATTCTTGAAGATTATCCATCTAAAATCAAGATCTCATTCAAGAAAGTGGATTTTTCTACTTTCTTCTATATTTCTTTAATCCAGGTGATGTCTTTTCAGTATTTCTTGTATGATTTAATAATTAGGATGGTTGGCTAAGTTTTTCATTATATTGGATGAATGATGAACCCTATAGTTTATTTATTTTGATTCGAGGTATTTAGTATTTCATGATTTTTCTTGATTGATTTTGCATTCTCATTGAACTATTTGATTGCTTGATCACCAATCAGATAGTAAGTTGTTTGTCGTAGTGTAGGAATACTCACAATAAGTCTAGAATGTTGTAAAATCAATATATGGTATTAGGAATAATATCTATGGCATGTGCAATCATGTATGATAAATCCTGTGAATCAATACATGTTTTTCATAAAGATTCGGACTAGGAATAGGATCGGGTCGTGTTAAACATGAGTTTAATATATCTTGAATGCACGAATTTACTAAATTATGAATTAGGAGTTGAATTTAATGGCAATAGGCAAATTTCAATACAAAATTCCTATATTAGATTAATATTTTGTTTGCTTTCTTAGTTTAGGATTAGTATAGAATACATACGAAATAACTCTTTTGAGTTTATATTACCTCGAATTTAATAAAAGCTATTGAACAAGATATTAGACCTTATTCCTCCTAGGAACGATACTCTTAACTCACAAATCTTATTACTTATACAACGATCATGTACGCTTGCAGGTTTTCTAAGAATAAATTTTTGGCGCCGTTGTCAGGGAATAACGGATTTAATTATAGTTTAGTTGTTTATATTAGATTCGATTTTTTTCACTTTATTTTTTTTGTTGAGTTTGGCTACTCACCCCGATCTTTCTTATTTGGTATTCTTTATAGGTGCTCTTCAATAGCATATGCAAGATTCTGACGCTGGCATAGTAGAATTATTTCTGCAATAATTAATCTAGACATAGATGATGAGAAAGAAGATATATATTGTGAGTTTTTCCATGGGGTGCATTATACTGGCTACTGCTTGTATACATGCATTGACCCAGGAAGGCTCAAGCTCCTGCGATTTCAACAATATTTCCGATGTCAACTATTAGCATTTGACAATGCTAATTAAGACTACATGCCTGTGGCCAAGTATATCCCTTTAGACACACTTGTGGGAGTTGGTCCTTC